CATGTCCCCTCTAAGCCTTCTCTTTCCCAGGCTAAACAGACCAAACTCTTTCAGCCTTTCCTCAGAGGACTTGGTCTCCAGATCTCCAGGTCCAGTTTTGGCCACCATATTTTAGGAAGGATGTTGACAAGCTCAAGCATGTCCAGGAGAGGGCAACCAGGATGGTGAGAGGGTTTGAATCCAAGTCTTATGAGGAAAGGCTGAAAGAGTTTGGTCTGTTTAGCCTGGGAAAGAGAAGGCTTAGAGGGGACATGATTGCAGTCTTCAAGTATTTGAAGGGCTGTCATGTAGAAGATGGAGCAGATCTATTCTCTCTTGCTCCGGATTGCAAGACTAGCTCTAATGGGTTGAAACTACAAGGGAGTCGTTACAGGCTACATATCAGGAGAAGCTTCCTAACTGTAAGAGTGGTTGAGCAGTAGAAGAGACTGCCTTGGAAGGTGGTGGATGCTCCTTCGCTGGACACTTTCAAGCGGAGGCTGGACAACCATATTTCGGGTATGTTGTAGGGCTATCTTTTGGCTCTGCTCCTGCAGAGTGCAGGGGGTTGGACCAGATGACCTGTAAGGTCCCTTCCAACTCTAACATTCTATGATTCTATGATCTTTCACTATCTTTGTTGCTCTTCTCTGGACATGGCCCCGTTTGTCAACATCCTTCTTAAACTGTGGTCACCAAAACTGAACACGGTACTCCAGACTGAACTTGTCTGAAGGCACAGCCCAATTCTGGCCTTCAGAAATACCTCCCTTGTGGACAGATGGCAGCCATGCCTCTAACATCCAATCGATATGCGCATCTGTAGTCCCGATTTGGCTCCTCATGGGAGTAGCTATCGTAAGAGGGATGCTTTCAGCTCTAGCTGTGATAACCCTGCGATTCAGGTCTTGAGTGCCTCTTTTCTTTCCTGCATTGCACCAAAGAAGAACAAATTCAATGAAAGTCTCCCCCCCTCCCCATGCACTCACTTGTCTCGAACATTTTCCATCTGAAAGAAAAATGCATTTGTTTGCATACTTTGTAATGATTTCTTACTGCGAGCTACAATCATTAGTGGGGGGAAATGGAAGAGAAATGCCACACTGGAAGCAGACAATGAGAAAAATGGAAATGTTGACGAGATAAGAAACCGGTAATGAAACGTGACTGATGTGAGAAGGCCCTAAATTTAGGGCATGATCCACCGGTTTTTCTTTCTGTTAGAAATTCTACTTACATTATTTATAATCCTTCTTTCTCGTTTAGACTCAAGGTGGATTACACAGGGCGAGTCGATATAATTGACGGATGGGACATCCAATAAACAGTGCAATAGGATTACGGTTGTAGACCCAACCAGAAGTTTAAAAACAGAACGGAAGCAAAGTGTAAGTGTTAACATGACACATGAGTCAGCAGTGTGATGTGGTTGCTAAAAAGGCAAATGCGATTTTGGGCTGTATCAACAGAAGTATGGTGTCCAGATCACAAGATGGGATGTTACCACTTTACCCTGCTCTGGTTAGACCTCACCTAGAGTATTGTGTTCAGTTTTGGGCACCACAATTTAGGAAGGATATAGGCAAGCTGGAATGTGTCCAGAGGAGAGCAACGAAGATGGTGGGGGGTCTGGAGACCAAGTCTTATGAGGAAAGGTTGAAGGAGGTGGGTATGTTTAGTCTGGAGAGGAGACGACTGAGAGGTGAAATGATCACCCTCTTCAAGTACTTGAAGGGCTGTCATCTAGAGGATGGTGTGGAATTTTTTTCTGTTGCCCCAGAAGGTCGGACCAGAACCGATGGGTTGAAATTAAATCATAAGAGTTTTGGCTAAACATTAGGAAGAACTTCCTGAAAGAGTGGCTCCTCAGTGGAACAGGCTCTCTCGGGAAGTGGTGGCCTCTCCTTCTTTGGAGGTTTTCAAGCAGAAGCTAGACGGCCATCTGACAACAATGCTGATTCTGTGACCTTAGGCAGGTCATGAGAGGGAGGGCAGGAAGGGTTGCTTCAGTGCTTAGTTCTCGTGGCCCTTTTTTTACTTCTGATTGCCACTTTGGGGTCAGGAAGCAATCCTGGAGGGGTTTTAGGTCATCTTCTGGGCGTGGAGCAGGGGTCACTGCAGGTGTGGAGGGGGAGGGAATTGTGAATGTCCTGCCTTGTGCAGGGGGTTGGACTAGATGACCCTGGAGGTCCCTTCAAACTCTATGATTCTGTGACATTAACTGGTGCAAAATTCCATAGCAGGATCCAAGTTTCAGCAAGCTAAGCACAGTAGTGTTGACCACAGTGCCTAATCATTTTTCGAAGTAACTTTGTGAATCATTTATTACAGTGGAAGTCCAGTGCCTGAGTAGAAAAGCCCTCTTGAATAATCCAGTTTTGCATAGTTTGTGGAAAGCCAGGAGATTGGGAGCCTTCCTGACCTCCTCAGACAGGCTGTTCCACCGCCACGGAGAAGGCACCCTGTACGGGCAGTTGTCGATTTTGCCCATTCACAGGATGGCATCTGCAGAAGATCCTGCTTTGAGGAACAAAGCTGTTAGGGTCGCCAAGTATTACCTATCTGCTGGCCAGGGGAATGGCATTCTCACTCCGGTGATGTCATTGTGCCGGGCACATTGGGCGGGACACTCTAGCATTTGGGCATAAAATTCTATGGTCACTATAGAGGTTTCCCCCAAATGCTATAGCATCCCCTGCATGACGTGCCCGGTGCAATGACATCATTGCACCAGGCACATCTGGCGAGATGGGTCTCTTCGGGGGGCCGGACTCCCCTGCCAGCCGGCTGGGCAGGGTTGGACAATGTTGAAGCTAATCACTTCACCAGTGACACCTTTGGAGACTTCCGGTTTATGGCGACATGCTGGCGGACGCATCTCCCGGACCTCCCGGGGATGTGATCTGCGCACCAGCGGAAAGGAGGGGGGGACGGGTCACTACCCCTCCGGAGTCTTGGCAAAAGGCTCCTAGCCATGGGGAATTGAGGCGCTCCTCCACCCCAATGGTCCTGCCACTGAGTGTTTGTATGGATCTAGAGCCGCTGACCGGGGCAAGCGTTGGAGATCGAGCATTTTGAACGTGTCCCGAGTGAGGTTGTATGACCAACAATGAACTGTGAGTCGGGTTAAAGCCAACACGAGAATTTAAAAAGAAAAATCTACCTCCTGGGAATGGCGAAAAAAGTGAGCGGGAGAGGGGCCCCTCCCATGCACATGAACTAAACAATGAAACACTAAGGGGGGAGCAAAAGAATAAGCGTTGAAATCTGCTTTGAGAGACTTACCAGAGCGCGGATAAGCGTATGGGCGTATTTCAGAGACTTTAGCAAGTTTTCATAAAAGTAAACAATCCATAAAGATGGCGGGGAAGAGGGCAGAGAAAGACAAACCAGCAAAAGTGAAACTAGCCGGGACCATGAGCCCTCGACCGGAAGAGGTCACTGAGTTCTCTAAAATGTTGGCAGATTTCTTGCACCCTCTGCTGGACCAGATGACTAATATCAAACCACAGCTGATGACTCTAAACCAGTGACACCTTTGGAGAACAATAGCTGAGTCCAGGAGTATTGTCTTTTGATGAGTTTAGCTGGGCTGTTGCAGTCTGGCTGATGAGTTGAGTGATGAGTCAGTCAGCTAGTCCCTTCCTGGCAGAGGCTTCTTCTTTATGCTGTGGAGCCTAAATGAATCACCTGGTGAAGGTGAGGAGGGGTGGGGCGGGGCATGTTGAAGGAAAAGTTTTGCAAAGTGGGGCGTTTTTCCATAGTACATAGTTACTGGATTCTGTGTGTTCTCTGTGTAGGGAGCTGGTCTCTCTTCCTGCTGTGCTGAGGGCAAGAGAGGGCAGGTAACTTCAAGAACCATTGGCACATCATCTCAGGAGAAGGCTTTTCCTCTGCTGGCATGTGTCTGCAGCTGGCATCACTTTTGCACACTAGTTGCACAGTCCAGTTTTTGTTATGAACTATAAGTCCATAAGAGCCCCTTGCAGGGCAACACAGAGCCAAGTCCAAAGCCAGGGGGTCCAAAGGTCTAGGTGAAAGAGCTGAGCCAGAGTGGATGCAAGCAGCACAAAGCTGACTTGTTGCTTCCACAAAGAGTACTGCCCAGAGTGTGGAGTTAAATGCTGCTACCAATTAGCCAGCTGCACGATCACCCAGGCTCCTGTTTAGAACTCTGGGCTGGCCGAGCGTCTTCCCTGTAGCCTGGCCTCTCGTCATCTGGTTGCTAGGTTTTGCCACAGTTGCTCCCTTAAACGAGTCACACGTGGGGGTGAGTCAGGAGGACTTTCAGCTTGCAGTTCTTCCCCCTTATCTGGGCCAGGTGTGAAGACTGCTGTTACAGGCAACTGCCAGCTATCCTCCTCTGCTGCTTCAGAGGGGCCAGCTGCGGTTTCTGCAGGCTCTGGCAGCTCTCCCTCATCCATGTCCATGACACCATGCCACATCTGTGGAAAACGCAAAATGGATGAGAACTGGGGGCGGGGGGATCTGAGAGAGCCAGGCTTTTGAGTCCCCCAGTAAATCCATTACTTTCACTGCTAGGATTCAATTACTTTTCTTGTATTTTGAGTAAAAAATAATAATATCATCACTTGGGTTTGCCTGTGTCCTTTATACATTTTATATCTCCAGTACCTGGCATTACATTTTACGGAACACATGGTCCGGCCTGACGAACTTGTCATTTATGTCAGATCTGGCCCTCGTGACAAATGAGTTCGATACCTCTGCCGTAGGGTGTTCAAGGCAAGAGATGATCAGAGGAGGTTTGCCATTGCCTGCCTCTGCGTAGCAACCTTGGACTTCCTTGGTGGTCTCCTGTCCAAATACTAGTCAGAGTCGACCTTGTCTAGCTTCCACAATCTGCCGAGATCGGGCTATCCTGGGCTATCCAGGTCAGGGCAAGGTGGGGCACACATCTAGATAAAGACTGTTATTTGTGGTAGATCTATCACGCCAATGTTCAAAAAGTGTTCGAGCAGATGACACTGCCAGGATGATACTTCCCCCACAGCAGCGTGCTAACAGATCACAGTTTCACCGGTGGGTTTTTGAGCTTCCTCTGCATCCTGAGAGTGCGACGGGACAAAGCAGAATTTCCAGCTGACAAACGGATCGATACTCCAGACCTCCTCTGTCAGCCCGATTTGCCGACGCCCGATCCAGTACGCAACTGCAATGAGAAAGCTGTTGATGAAGTACAGCCAGGGAACGTTCATCTCTAAATAGGCAGGAATCCGAACACCAAGTAGCACAAGGAGCATTTGAAGGAAAACAAAAGGTGCCCAGTTGCCAACAAAGCAGACTAGCAGCCGCGTCAAGAAATGTCTCGCACAGTCTCTAGGGCTGCAGTCAGGCCCATGAGGGAAGAACAGCACAGTCTCGCTCTTATACAAAATCAGCTTCATTGGCTGTGCCATCTCCCTCACTTCTGACCAACACAGGACAAAAACTATGGATATGGTCGATAGCATACCTAGTGAGAGCCAGTAGGTCTGACTGCTGATGTAGAAAGGGCACTGGTATCCAGACTTGTGAAGGTTTTTGTCCAGTCCTGTGACATGGCTTGGTAATGTCAGAACGTAACAGATCCTTCCAAGATGGTGGCGCGCATAGACGCAGCGGCTTTGTGCTCTCTCTTTCGGTGTTTTGTATGGCTGTTTTTGTTTGAGTTACTACTTGTTTGTGTTACACGCTGCTGGGCGAATAATATCTGCAGCCGGCAGGAGCTTCTAATGCTGGGAATGCAGAGTGAAAAGGCAATTATAGCTGACTCTCTTCACTCCTACGACATACCAGTGGAGATAGCCAGGACGCCGGGCTCCACGTAGATTACCACCCCCGTGAGGAGGAAGAGGAGGCGGCGCAGGGATAGAAGGCAAAGGCGAGGCTGTCGGGCTGGTGTGTTGGTGAAGTTACGTAGGAGCCAAAACAAGCCACCGCTTCCTAGCATTTTTCTTGCGAATGTACGCTCACTTAGCAACAAATTGGATGAATTATGAATTGGAATTTGGGTGACATTGGTGGTTAAGTTGCAATGTGAACCCTAATGGTTGTGTGAGTGTATATGAGTATGCTTGTAGATCACCGAATGATTGCACCTTAATTTCGTTGTACTATGTACAATGACAATAAAGTATATTATTATTATTAACGTTAAGACCACAGCAACTGTGTACCATGATCTCCGACATACATTAGAAGTCATCGCTCTGGTTATTGTGAAATAATAATCCAGGCCAGCCATCAAAGCTATGGGGTAATGTAAGATCCCACAGGTGATGGCTATAATCTGTGCTAAAAGGCAGATGTGATACGTGGTAAACCGGAGGCCCAATAGCATAAAGTCCTGGAAGTAGAAGATGAAAAACATGGTCACCAGACGCACCGGCTCCAGCACGGCTAGTGAAGTGCAGAAGTGGACCATAAAACTTCCACGCAGAGTCTGTCTTCTGATTCTAAGTAGAAATTGATTGAGCAAGACTTTCCTCAGCATGATGAGCAGCGGAGCTGTGCTAGGCTCGGAAGGCTGGAAGAGGTGGCCATATCGGAAATGCAGGAAGGAACCATTCTCCCAGAACATGACAGCCATTCCTACAGGTGTAAGCGCTCCGTCGAATCTTACTTCTTATTATTATTATTATTATTATTATTATTATTATTATTATTATTATTATTATTAATACTACTAATACTAATACTAATACTAATACTAATACTAATAATAATAATAATAATAATAATAATAATAATAATAATAATACTTTCCATTTATTAATCACTTTCCCCGGTGGGCTCAAAGTGATGTACAGTTACTCAATATAGACAAGGGACTAACAATGTTTGTAGGGGAAAGGGAAGACAACATATATTCATTTAATTGCACACGCCGTCACTGCCCGGTGTAGACGTTTTCTGGCTTGGCTCTGTCGTTTTCCGCACGGCTGCTTGTTGACCAGGCTTCAGGACCCATATGTCAATCGCCACACTACCACCGCCTAGCTGGAACATCCACTGCAGGGATTATTTCGTACCCGAGAAGTTATTTCACCTTTCCGAACATCGACTAGGGCGTCCGACCGTCAGCTAACACCCTCCCACAAGGGAGATTGGTGTGCCCACCCTCTCTAAGGAGTGGTTCCCATTTTATCTACTCACCGAAGCTTTCGAATAGCTGGGTGGACGATGAGCTGGGGACAGCAGGCTGGCTGCTCACACCAGCGCGGGGCTCGAACTAACACAGTTCAGATGTTAAGACAGTGGGATATCCCCACAGTGCCACTGCTCCCCTTCCACCTCCAGTTCATGCCAGGCCGGAGCAGCAGCTCACGCAAATGCCGAAGCGGGCGAGCTCCCTGGGTGGGCGGTTCCCCTTCGGCCACCCGAATCACATCAGAATTGGGTTACGTCCCTATCGGTGTGAGCCATTATAGGCATCTATGACCCTAAATGGTAACTTCTAATAGCAGGTTAATAATTCATCTGCTGCAGTCCTCTGTTTGTACCAGTAACCAGCCAATTGCTTCTGGGAAGCTCATAAACAAAATATGAAGACGAAAACAATTAACCCCTACTGTCCCTCTCGCTAGCATCCCGTGCTCAGTTGAATACTGCTCTTGTACATGGAGGCTCCATTTAGCTATCACATCTGATAGTCAGTCATGGATTGGATCCAACCAGCTTTTCCACTGGTGCAAAAGAGAGGAACGAGGCCTCCTTTAACCACAGAAATGCTCCATCGGGGGTCATGGGTACTGCATGCACAGAAGTCATGTGGGACAGGCACTGAATACTCATCTGTCCTCTTCTGTTGCCATCTTCTGCCAGCAGGTTCCTTTTGGTTTCATTTGACATTCCCTCAGTGATCCCCAATGTCTTCATTGCTGTTTTTATTTTTTACTTTGTTCTAATGTTTGGGTTGTTTTTTGTTTTTTTTTAACTTTAACGGCTCAAACATGAGATTCTATCCTGTGCGTTTTGAATCGGTAGCCCCCTTAGTGGCCCTTGTGAGGGCAAAAAGGCAGGATACAGATTTTAGATATAAAATCAATACAATAAAACAAGGATGTGTCTGGATCAATGCTCCCTCTAAGCTGTGGAGTCTTGTGAGCAAAAATTCTACCTTGCGAGCTAGTGGCATGAAAGGTGTGAGCGAACAATTCGGCTACTGCATAAATTAGTTTGCTCTGGAGCCATCCTTCCTGAGCTATGGCAAAAATGTGTGAGCCGGAGGCTAAAAAATCTGTGAGCTAGCTCACACTAACTCAACTTAGAGGGATCACTGGTCTGGGTCATTTAAATTTTACTCCAGCTATGTGGAGGCTGCCCTAACCTGGATGTCGTCAGCTACTGGAATCTTGCCAGATCTCAGAAGCTAAGCAGGGTTGGACCTGGCTAGGATTGGGACGCACCAGCAGCCGCATGTGGAGAAGTGGAGAATCAAACTGGGTTCTCCCAGATTAGAGTCTGCACTCCTTTTTTCTTTTCTTTTTTTTAATAAAATTTTTATTCGTTTCAATAGGGATAGAAAGATAACTACAGAAAAAGAAAAACACATAACAGCAATAACTAACAACAACAGGGTCTATATTGTTTTAGTTTTAGTTACAGTGCTACTATAGAATCGAGTTCTGCTACACCTTACTTTGTACAATACTTTGTCTTACAATGATCCTCTTTTAGATCCATAGTTTGCTTTTTTAGATTTTCTAAGATAGTTTTCAAACCATTTGTAGAATCTCACCTATTTCTTTTCAAAAATTTCTTCTTGTTTTTCTTGTAATTGTAAAGTTAGTCGATCCATTTCCACTGCATCTATTAGTCTATGGATTATCTCTTCCTTTGTAGGTTCCTGTTCGCAGGATGGGCAGGGTATAAATATAATAAATAAATAAATAAATAAATAGGTATCTCTTCTTTTCCCCCAGTACTTTGCATATAAAATTCTAGCAGTGGTTACAATCAGTGTTCCCTCTAAGCTGAGTTAGTGTGAGCTAGCTCACAGTTTTTTAGCCTCTGGCTCACACATTTTTGCTTTAGCCTGGGAAGGAGGGCTCCAGAGCAAACTAATTTATGCAGCAGCCAAATTGCTCGCTCACAACTTTAATGCCAGTAGCTCACAAAGTAGAATTTTTGCTCACAAGACTCCACAGCTTAGAGGGAACATTGGTTACAGTCTGTACAATCATATATACATCTTGTTTGTTAAAGTTTTGTGGTACAATATTTAATAAAAAAACATTTCTGAGTCCACGCTCCTAACCACTACACCTAACTGGCTCTCCAAGTATGTGTGTGTATGTGGGGGAGGAATCCAAGCCCAGGATAAGAAGCCAACCTTTAACTTTGGCCTTTCCAAAACTGGCAGGCATAACTTCTGGCCAGTGTCCATCACTTGTTTGACCCAATATGGCAGCTCTTACAGAAACTCTAGGGATCTATTTTTGAAAGGCCATCAGTTAGTAATTGAAAGGTTATCACTTAGAGGAGGATAGAGAGCTGTCCTTTTTGGCAGCAGAGGATAGGACTCACAATAACGGGTTTTAAATTATGGGCGGAAAGGTAGTGGATGGATATTAGGATTTCTTTTTACAGTAAGAATAGTCCAGCAGTGGAATCGGCTGCCTAGGGAGGTAGTGTGCTCCCCCTCACTGGCAGTCTTCCAACAGCAGCAGCAGCGGCAGAAGAAGAAGAAGAAATTAGATTTATACCCCACCCTTCCCTCAGAGTCTCAGAGCAGCTTACAAACCCCTTTCCCTTCCTCTCCCCACAACAGACACCCGGTGAGGTAGGTGGGGCTGAGAGAGCTCTTTCAAGAAGGACCGCTCTGTCAGAACTATGGCTTGCCCAAGGTCATCCAGCAGCTGCAAGTGGAGGAAGCAAGGAATCAAACCCGGTTCTCCCAGATTAGAGTCCAAACATTTAACCACTACACTAAACAGCAGCTGGACGAACACGTGTCAGGGATACTCTAGGCTGGTCCTGCATGGAGCAGGGGGTTGGTCTAGATGGCCTTTATGGCCCCTTCCGGCTTTATGATTCTATGACTCTGTTTTTTCACCCTCTTCTACGTAAGGTTTACTTAGTATGCTGGATCTGCTGTTTGTCTGCCGAGGATGAAAATACATGCAACAAGTTGTAAATCACATTGTTGTGGTTTAGAAAAATCCCCCCCCCCCCCAGGTTTTGTACTTGGAATATCAAAGACTGCAATCAGAAGTAGTTTATGCGTAGTAGAACAATTCTTCTTCTTGTATTGCCAAGGTCAGTCTACTGCAGAGTTATTTCGATGCCTCCATTCCCGTTATGGAAATTTGTATACATGTTTCCGAAAATTGCCAATTTTCTCTTGCTATCATAGGCACTTTCTCGCCTTGCGCCCACCCCGTGTGACGGTTTGACTCCCTATCTCTTTCCCCAATCTCATCTCCCAGTCGCTTGTATCTTGGTCTCATAAGTCACTCTCTAATAATGCAGTCATATCTCGCCTCGTTGCCTTCTTATTTATGTATTTTTAATGTCCCCATCATTGCCTTTTCTCAGCGCCAACAATTTGAAAGAAGCCTCCATGGCCGGCCATTTGCTAGGATGAGTTTGCTCTGTGCTGGTGGCGGACTTTCCGAGCAGCAGCATCGCTATGGTGCAAAAAAATTGGAAGGGATTCTGAAAGCGATCGCCATCATGAAGTGTTTATTAAGGTATTTATACTCCACTTTGCTCTTCAGTGGGGATCCAAAGTGGCTTATAATATCATTTATTTATTTATTAAATTTATACCCCGCCCTCCCCGGTAGGGCTCAGGGCGGCCTACATGGCAAGGAATCTTGCAGTAATAAAACATCCAATACATTTGATAGCATTTAAAACATTATTATACAATTTAAAAACCCATCTCGGTACAATAAAGTGCTCAATAAAGTGCTCAAGGTCCTCAGTTCCCAAATTCCTGTACCTCAGAGAGATGACAGCCACATTCAAACATTCCCGGTAGGCATTCAGGCTTCGATGTTAGATGTTAAATTCAGATGTTCCTTCATGTCTCCTCCTCCTACCCTCCACTTTATCTTCACAACAAAACCCCTGGGAAGTTGGTTAGGCAGAGAGTATGTGACTGGCCCAAAATCAACGAGTTTCCATGGCAGCATGGCGATTCGAACCTCGGTCTTCCAAACCCTTGTCCAATTCTGTAACCCACACCCCACTGACTTGCTGGTACATGCAATTTAAAACCATAGAGTTTCTAGAGATTCCTAGAGCTACCCATTTTTACTTCCGATTTTTAACTGGAAGTGACATACTGGCCCAGAGGACACCACTGTTTTTAAAAGGGGTGGCAGGCAACAGAAGTGATTGGCAGGAGGTATTCTGCCACAATGGGAGGCCTGGAAGCCCTAATTTCCTTACCTATGTGGCCATTCCTTCACTTCAAAGGAGACATGATTCCATGTGTCCAAATCAATGTGTGAGTTGATTTCAGACACCTTCATTGAAACCATGAGGACATGGGAGAGCATGTGATGTCAGTGATGTCACTGTGTCATTTCTGGAGTATACCCCTGAAGTGGCAGTGGATAGCTCCAGGAATTGCTGGAA